TTACACTTACGTTAAATTGTTTTGAAAAGTCTAAGCAAATAAAACAATGTTAGTTAAAAAAATAAATTTTAAAATGGTACTTAATAAAATTATTTTAAAACAATAGTAACGTAAAAAAGTTGATAAAAAAAAAAATGCAAAATAGCGTTTTAAAACGTAACTCAAATTCACGTGTAAATAATAATAAAAAAACGTTTTAATTGATATTTAATAATAACAATACAATGAGATTTGTGTTTGAAAGCATCAAAGATGTTTTCAAGCACAAATCTTATTGTATTGTTTCAGATGATATGATGCATGATGCGAACATAAAATTATTGAGGTTGTCAGCAATGATATTAAAACATATCTACCTCAAATAAAAAAATTGAATACTTTTCAGATGGGTATGCAGGTCAATATAAGAATTGCAAAAATATTTTAAATTTTTGTTTCCATCTTGAAGATTTTGATCTTTCTGCTAAATGGAACTTTTATGCAATTAGTCACGGTAAGCAACATTGTGATGGGTTAGGTGGTACAGTCAAACGTTTAGCAACACTAGCAAGCTTTCAAATCAATCAAATCAATCAAATCAAATATATTCTGAAATAAGTTGTTTAATATTTCAAGGATATTTACAATAGTACGAGTACTAGTATAAAGCAAATACCTAACAAATACAACATCAATATAAACAACTAGGAAGATAATAATATTAATAACAATATTATATTAATAATGTAAATCAATATAAACAACTAGGAAGATAATAATATTAATAATAGTATTATTTTAAAACAATAGTAACGTAAAAAAATTGATAATAAAAAAATGCAAAATAGCGTTTTAAAACGTTTTAAACCGAGCAACAGCGTAACGCAAAAAATATAAAAATTTAAAAATACACAATATATTTATTTCAATTCATAACTGACTAGAATTTTGACTAGATGTTTATTCATGACTAAGGTTTAAAATTATTCAATGTGGCCACCATTGGCATCATACACAAGTTGGATACGCTGCTGGAAGTATCTGCATGTATTCTTGAAATCTTCTTCTGGAACTTTGGCCCATGCTTCGCATATAGATTTTTTTAGTGACTCGGTACTTCCATGGGGAATTTTGCAAGCCTCCTTCTCCACAGCTGTCCACATAAAAAATTCTAATGGGCTCAGATCTGGGCTAGATGGGGGCCACTTTAATTTGTCCCAGTACTGACTCAGTTTTCACTGAGAAAATTTTGTGTCTTTTTTGAAGTATGAGCTGGTTCCCCATCCTGCTCAAACACATACTGACCATCTGGATAGTTTCTGTTTAACCAGGGAATGACCTTCTCTTGCAGGAGGTGGATATACTCATCACTGTCAATTTTTTGACCTTTTTTCACAAAAACTGGTGGACACTTTTTTCCATCACTTGCTATTACGCCAAGTACCATCACAGAAGCTGGTTTTTTTGACGAAAATGAATACCTGATATTCTCAGGGACTTCCTTTACTGTTTTGGCAGTACTAAGGTACCTTGTGTTACGACGATTAATAACTTTATCCACAGTGAAAAGTTTTTCATCAGAGAAGATTGTTACACACCCAGGGTAAGATTTTCGCCAGTTTAACAATTTTTTGCATCGCTCTCTCCTACTTTCTTTCTGTTTATTAGTGATAAGATGCTTAGTCACAACAGCTCTGGATTTAAGGTTCAAATCTTTCATAACTTTTTGCATTGTGGAGTTGGCAACGTTGGTTTCCCTTGCCAACTGGCGCGCCAGTTGGCAAGGGAAACCAATGTTGTCCGCCATGGTGGATAGAGCGCAAAGACTTTTCTTTTGACATCCCTTAAAAGCTGAGGTAATTGTTTCACAGGTTTTGGCTTATTAAAACGTCGTTTGATATCTCCTGTTTCATAAAAAAGTTTTCTTACTCGAAAAATTGCTGTTCTGGAGCAGTTTAAAGCCTTTCTGATATCTGATGTAGTCTTATCCGATTGCAACATTTGCAGAATGCTTCGTCTTTTTGATTCTTGCAGATCCATTTTAATTAAATTTTTTTAATTTTAACGTTTTTTTTATTTCTGTGTTGATATCATTGCGTAATTTGTAAACAAATAGATCCACGGCTATACAAGCATTGATAGAGCCTTAAATTTGAGCGTAACGCAGTTGCGTGGTCACCCGGTAAATAATATAAACAGAAATAAACATCGAATCAAACATTAAAATATATAGCAATAATAAGTTTATATAATAAAAATATATAGTAAAATAAAAAATATATAGCAATAATAAAAAATAATGGTAGTAAAAAAAATAAATTATAAAAAAAAAAAGAAATAAAAATAGTGTTAAGATATTATTATATTAATATAAAGATATTATAATAGATAGTAATAATAGATAGTATAATATTACTATATTAGTATATATTATTACTATTATTTAAAAATATAATAACAACAAAAATAATATGAATAATAACCATAATAGAAATCACATATTGATAGAGATGTCGTGAATAACAATGATGATAGTAACAAGATAGAGATGAATGAAATAAGATCAATAGATGAAAATAAGATCAATAGATAATAAATATTAATAAAGATAAATTCTCGTGAATAACGCAATGAGAGTAACAATAAAAATATCATCAAAAAATTAAAAAAAAATAATAATAAATAAATAGAATAAATAACCAAGGAATTAAAAATTAATAATAATAATAGAATGAAAAAAACAGCAACCAGGTAGTTAGAAATTGATAAATAAATTGAGAATTTTGAAGCATTAAGAACAGGAGAATAAAAAACTGGAGGATTACTAATTTATAAATATTATAGAGGGTTTGGAGTTTGACTGTATGATTGTTTATTTGTATGTTTTTTAGCAAGTGATCGAAGAACTTGATCTTGTAATCAGAGATTGAATGTAGAGATTTTAAATCAGAGGGTAGCTTGTTCCATGAGCTTATGCTTTGGTATTTAATGGATTTATTTCCATATTTCATAGAAAGGTGTTCATATCAAAGAAATATGGATAATCATATTTTATCTCCACAATCAATCAACAAACATTGCAATGAAAACATTGAAGGAATACATTCCATTTATATGTTATCAGAAGATTTAGTTTTTGCAAAAAATTCTCTTAAGGAACAATTAGATAGTACAAATATTATGCCTAGAACACATAGTTACCATTAGTTTGTACAACTTGGCCATCAAAATGTAAAAAAATATGTATTTAATATACCTTTTATTTTTTAAAAAAACATAATATTCATTGATTAACTCGAATAGATTTTTTATTTGTGTAAAATTTTTGTTTGTCAACGGGAAACTTTATTTGTCAAAAATATTTTTATTTTATCTTGGAATCACAATTTTTTTTAATCCCTTAAATAAAATATATTTAAATAAATATATAGGAACAAAGCTATGCAGTATTGATAAAGAATTTGCTTTAATTCATGACTTTGGAAACATCCAAGTAACAACTGTATTACCAGGTGATTATGCGTGTGTTACTATGAACAAAAGTGGTGAAGACACTAGTCTAAAAGAAAAAAACGTGCTTGTCAAATTTATGTGTCCAAAAGGTCCTGCTAGGTCGTTTAAATGGCCACTAGTAGATAGCCAATGCTGGATTCCAGATGTCTACATCATTTGCAAAGTTGAAGCATCGACCACAAAAACAGGATTTTGCTATTATTTAGCCGAAAACGGCTTGAAAAAAATTGTTTTTCTAAAGAAATAAAATTCTTACATTTAAACTAATTTCAAGTTTGCTGGTACTTATATCTTATCCATACTTTCTTTATCTTTTGTTTTGTGTACAATAAATGTGAATGAAAAGCATATATAAAATCAAAAAAGTATTTTTTTTTCAAAAGTTTTTTTATATCTTTTAATTTTATTGTAAATAACAAATGAGTCAATTAATTATTAATTCCTAATTTTATTGATTGGTAAAAAATCGGGATATATTCAGATCGTATTTTTAAAATATCACACAATTTTTGTGTCAATAACTCCTCAAGTAAACGTAAGGCCAAAACAAAATTGGTTCGTAAAAGAGATATACATCTTATCTTTAAGAAGATATTTTTTTCTTTTTTTATCGGTCAGTTATTTTTTATAGCTATAATTGTCAATGGTCTTTTTCATTGTCATTGTTAAAATAAACTACATACTTTTGTTCCGAGAAATATAAAACTAAAATTTTTGGATTTAACAGGTTTGAAGGTAATTTTCAGTTTTAAGGTACACGGAAACATTTTTGACCTCCCTCCCCCTTTTTATTTTTCAGTCAAAATTAAACTAACTTCAAATTGCTGTAAATCTTAAACGGATAAGAACTTTAAAAAAAAATTACAGTCTTTCCTATGTTATGTCTTTAAACATTTGTGCCAAGTTTCAGAAAATTTGATGATTTTGTGATTTTGTTTTTGATTTGACAGATAGGTGTTTTCGGAAAATTTTTTACTAAGTATTATTGTGAAAATGCGCGTTTCACGAAACGTGCAATTTTTTGCTCATTTCGTGAACTGGATGTTGAATTATTTGCGCATTTCATGAACGTGAAATGTTGAATTATTATCGTTTTTTAAAATATATTTATTATACATATTCGAAGTTATTTTAAATAGGGAATTACACAGTCGAGTATACATACATTATATATATATATATATATATATATATATATATATATATATATATATATATATATATATATATATATATATATATATATATATAATGTTTTTTTGTTATTGTAGATAACATAAGTGGAGCAATAAAAAAAAACAAAAAACAAAAACGCAATAATTGCGTTTCACACATTCTTTCCCTTGCAAGATTTCTTATTCATTCATTCTTATTTTTCTTCATAAACTTTTGCCTGTTCCCTAATCAACGGTTGTATGTAATCAGATTATGTAAAATATTTTAAAAAACTTTAAAAAGTCTAATCGAAATATTCTACCACTGATCTGTCGATAATTAAAACAATTTTATTTTACCTTAAAAATTTATCAAATAAAACTTTCCTTTTTCGCTACAAATCTAATTGTACACTCATACTTTTTGCCACCTTTTACATTTATGACAACGAATGTAGCATACAGAATCATGTATCTATGGAATTAACGCTTGCAAATATAAACATTTTAAAACGTTCGTTTTCCGAAATTTTTAGTGCCATAGTAATAAACTAATGTTTAATTTTTAAACATTAAAAATTCATAACTCAAATATTCCTGATAAGTTGCAATTCGAGATTAACATGAACGTCACTTGGAATGACGTCAATTAGAATGACTTGAAATTTGAATGCAATACAACATGAGTTATTTTTTTAATCTTCTTCGAGCTTTAGTTGTTTGTCGACCAGAAGATGGAGTACCAGCTCCAATTGAAAATCCACCACCTGGAACAGGTGAGTTAAAGTTTATACCTGGTTGTCCAGTATTACCAAAAGCACCTAGAGATGCAAATGATGGAGTCTGTGCATCATTGACATTGAAATTAAAACTTGGTGTTGCTGGTTGAGAGCCAAAGTTAAAAGCAGGTTTAATAGGAGCAGATTGAACTCCAAACATATTTGAGGATTGCGTTGACGATACTGTAAAATAAATAAACAACAAAAAATTAATAAAAACATTTTGAAAATTATTTTACATACACTGACAGCATAGAATGGAGGGGGGGGGGGGGCAATAACTAAAAGGATAGGGAGGGAGCTGTAGAGCTTTACGATGGTAGTTATTAAAATTTCGAGAATCAAAAAATTCACTCAAAAATATAAATAAAAAGAATGCTAAAAGCAAAATCCTTAATAGTTTAAATTAGAGTTTTACTCTAAATTCAGTAAAAAGCTATTTGATTGAGTATAAAGTTGTAAACATATTCGCAATTAGCATATATATATATATATATATACATATATATATATATATATATATATATATATATATATATATATATATATATATATATATATATATATATATATATATATATATCAAAACTACTTTGCATATAATCAAAACTTTAAAAAATTACCCCCAAAATTGAAGCTTGGAGTTTGTTGTAAAGACTGTCCAAATAGATTAGATGCTGAGAACTGTTGTGTGGAATTACCAAATACATTTGGTAGAGAACTTTGTGATACTGTTTGTCCAAAAACACTAGATCCACTATTGGGAATTGATGCTCCAAATAACGCCGAAGATGTCGGAGGTGCTCCAAATAATGCAGAAGATGTCGGAGGTGCTCCAAATATTGCAGAAGAAGATATCGGAGGTGCACCAAATATTGAAGCTGAAACTGTAGTACTATTTCCAAATATGTTATTAGTTCCAAAACCTGAAGATACTACTGAAGGAAAAGAAAATCCACTTGTGGTAGAAGTGGTTGAAGAGGATTTAAAATTAAAAACAGAACTGGATACTTGCGCAGGTTGATTAAACAATGCTGGAGCAGAAGATACGGTTGTAGCTGATCCAAAAAAGTTTGGGAAAGTAGGTGGATTAAAAACAGATGAAGTTGACTGTGCAGCTGGTGCCCCAAATAACAAATTTGGCGGTTGGTGAGTCGATTGAGTTGTTGGTGCTGCAAATAATGAAGTTGTTGGTAAAGGATTGTTAAAAATATTTTGACTACTAGAAGATGTTGTACTTACTACAGGTGCTATAGTTGACCCAAACACACTACCACCTTTATTAAAACTATTTGTAGAGGTAGAAAACAATGTAGAAGAAGGTGTAGTACCAAAAAGATTGGATATTTGAGAAGTTTGACTGGAAGTACTATTGAAATTAAACACAGAAGGTGGGACTGAACTTGCCACAAAATTGAAAGTATTTGATACAGACGATGCACCAGTAAGCATAGTAGTAGAAGCGGGTGTATTAGAAAAAAAGGTTGAGCTCTGAGTAGATGCTGGAACTGAGGTACAAACAGCTGAATTTCCAAACAAAAATGTTCCTGATGATTTCTCACCAAAAGCGCCAAAAAGATTATTAGTAAATGGCGTGCTAATAGAGGAAGAAGAAGATATTGTTGAAGAAGACAAATTAAAGTTTATTGAAGTTATAGGTGTATTTTTACTTAAAGATAATAAACTTGTTTGTAGACCAGAATTACTTTCAGCTAAACTTGATGTTGTTGTCAAACTTGTAAACTGATTTACAGAAACGTTTGATGCTGGTGTAGTTAAAGTTGATAAACTAAACGAAATACTTGGTGTTGAAGTTGATATTGAAGTTGTTGCAACAAATGAAATTTCAGTCAATGAAGTTGTAACCGCAGATGTGTTCAAATCATTACTTAAATTTGTTTTTGGAAAGGAAAACCCAGTTGTAGTAGTTGCAAAACTAAAACCTATTTGAGATGAACTGCTTGACACTACAAGAGGAGTTGAAAAATTTAAAGAGTTAGGGTTTATCAAAGGTAAAGAAATTGAAGATTGTGATCCATTTGAAATACTATTAGTCACTTGCATGCCTGAAACAGCATTACTCGATGGTAAAATTACTGATGATGGTGACACAAAACTAAATGCTGCTTCTGGTGGTTTAGAATTATTCTCAGAGGTACAAACCTTTCCCAAAGAGGTTTCTTGCACACCAAAGGTTAGATGTTGGTTTGTACTTTTCAAAGAATCAGATTTTAAAAATGTAGGAGACGGTTTTGCAAATGCAATTTCACTTAGCTTTACTGAAGAATCAACAAACAATGTAGTTGCAGAAACAGGTAAGCTAGATGTAGAAATTATAGATGCCTTGTTTTCAAAAGAAGTTGCTATCTGTTCCTTTAAACTTGCTGGAGCTGAATAGAAAAAATATAAAAAAAAAAAAATTATTACAAATTACACTGAATAAAAAAATTAACTCAACTAACAAAAAAAATACCTATTATTTTTTGCTTGGAATAATCTGAGCCATCAAGTAAATCATTAACTAACTTTACAGCATGTTCTTGATTATTACGAAATGCACTTATAGAAACACCTTTAGATCCAAATTCTTCACGGCTGTTCTAAAATTAAATTTGATTTATCAAAATATTGTTTTAAAAAAACACAACCATGACAACCAAAATAACCATGATAAAAATAGCAATAAAGTAATTATTAAAAAATACAATTTTTTTAATAAATTAAAAAAAACCTGTATTTCATCAATATCAATATGGTTATTAAAGTATACAGGATGATCACGCAACTTCTCACTTGAACCCAATAATGTCTGACTAGATAAACTGCTGAAAATTTTTCTGTAGGGAGACTAAAAATTATCGTATTTATAATTTATTATGATTACTAAATTTACTGTTATTAATATTGCTTTTTCAATATAAAAACTTTAACAAGTTAAAAAACAATAAGATGGTTGCCCTATAAATTATAACAAATAAGATAAATAATAACACTGAACAAATTAGTCATTGAAAAAAGAGAAACCCATAATAAAAAGTCATTATTTTCAACTCTATTGCCTAGCCACCAATGATATGTATTTTATAAAATTTTATAGACGTGGTTTCTCAGTCATGGAAGAGCAGAAAAGAAATAAAAAAATTTTAAACACAAGTATGTTAGTAAAAAATTCCTATGAAAACGAAAAGATATTTACATAAGTAATTTTTTATATATAAAATTATTAAATTAATTGATTTCTTTTTTTTTTTTGTCTTAATAAAGAAAAAAAAAAAAATTTTGAGAAAATAATTTTCATCTGTTTAATAACTTTTTATGATAAATTGCTTTCGATTTTATTTTAGTAACATTTTAAAGATTAAAAACAAACTAATGAAAAAAAACTTACCTTCAATTCTTTTAGTGCAGAGGATCTACTTTTCTCAAGCGATCCAAAAGATTCACTTTTCTCAAGCGATCCAAAAGATTCATTTTTCTTAAGCGATGTGTAAGAATTACTGTTTGACTCATTAAGCATGTTTTTAGGGAGTGTATCATTAAATTCAGTGGATGCATCATTAAATTTAACTTTTTTTTCTGTATGAGTGATTTTGTCTAATTTACTGTTGGGATTTTTTACTTCATCTACCAAAGCAAATTTTTAATTATACATAATCTGAAATTTATTTAAAGCATTTTATGAAAACATCCGCCTAAAACATTCTTTAACTAATGTTCACAATTAATCAATGACAACATCAATGCTTGTAAAACAAAAATCACGCTAACAATTAAAATGTATATTAACTATTAATATCTTACCATTAGTATATTTGTTTTCAATAGGAGTAATCTAAATTAGAAGTATCACATGTTTAAGTGATATTTAATATTGAATAAAAGTTAAAAATGATTTTTCATTATTAAATTTTTGTGACTTATCTGTTATAGTTAGTACTTAAGGTTGTAAATAATTGGATTGGTGAGACGAGTATCAGACCAGTGAGTGTGTTTTTACAAATATTGTTTTATTAATGCAATTTAAAATATATACACACACACATATATATATATATATATATATATATATATATATATATATATATATATATATATATATATATATATATATATATATATATATATATATATATATATATATATATACATATATATTTATTTATATATATATATATATATATATATACAACCTTTCAATAATATTTGTGTCATTTATTTGTATAATATCTGTGTGATTTAAAAAATTTGAGGAGAATCTTAAAAAAAAATTCAGGAAGACAATATGACAATATGGTTGTAACATTTATTTTAACTAGTATTTTTTAACAGTATTTTTAAAAATTTAAAAACAAACACAAAATCAAAATAGACAAACTCAAAAGTTTTTGCATTAAATTGTAAACTTAATTAAATGTACTGAAACTAATAAATAAGAGTGTGAAATTTTAAAGTAATTACAAAGGATAAAAACCTGAGCAGAGTAATCCATGAGTTCGTCTGTTTGTTCTTCAGTTAAACCAAATCTAGTACGACTAACAACTGGATTGCTCAATGTTTTTACAGGCTCAGCTAGTTTAAACTAGATAGAAAAAAAAAACCAATTAACCCTTTATGTCAACTAGATCCAGGTCCCAAAACGTTACATTAAAAAAACCCAGATTTTTTTGTAAAAGCACCAGTTTTTAGGAAAGTTAAACTGAAAATAAACTGCGAGTAGTTATTATTCGGATAATACTTGATAATATATTTGATAAAAATTGATAATAGATATTTTGTAAAAAAAACTGTTTTTAAGAAAGTTAAATTGAATAAAAAAATTTTTTTAATAAGATTTATATAATTTATAGAACTAATAAAAATAAAAAATAAAAAAATAAAAAATGAGAAAAAAGTTTACAAAAAAACTTTTTCAATTTTTTAAAAAACATTTTTTTTAAATTGATTTTTTAGAAAATGAATCTCTATGAAAAATTCTTTTTTTAAACTTTAACAAATGAAAAACCATGCAAAAAACAACAAATACCTCTTGTAAGTTTTCATATTGAGAAGCTGTAGACACTAATCTGTTAGCTGATGATCTAATATTGGATATTCTTTTACGAAGAGGTGAGCCAGATGACATCATAGGAGGAAACAATTCATTAAGAGTTGAGTCTAAATCAGAATTGTCAAACTTTTTGCGCTTAGATCTACTTGGTTGATCAGTTGTAGGAGAGAAAACTTTTTCTTTTTCTTTTTTTCGTTTGCTAATATCAAAAAAAGAAAGAAAAAAATCCTGTAAATGTGCCACCCAGTAAAAGAACAACATATTTAAGTTGACATGGTCCTAATACTTTTTGTTCGCTTAAAATATACACTTGAACTTTTTTTAAAATATATGTTTTTTGCCCTAATACAAGTTCTTTATAACTAGATAGCACCAGCCTAACCCTAAACCTACAGTAGATGTATGCACTGAAACCTTACAGGTGGCTAATTCAGTATGATGTCATCAGTGTGTGTCTAATGCTGCATTTATATATATATATATATATATATATATATATATATATATATATATATATATATATATATATATATATATATATATATATATGTATATATATATATATATATATATATATATATATATATATATATATATATATATATATATATATATATATATATATATATATATATATATATATATACATATATATATATATATATATATATCGATGGTTAAGAGCACAAAGGGAATACGTCCACTAACCATTGTTTTGAGAAATCTGAATTTGAAAGTTTGAAAACATACAATAATCCATGATATTTATTTATTGTCATGATTTTTAACCAAATGCATTCCTCAATTAATTCTGTCTTGTTTTTTACTATTTTATTTTTATTTCTTTTACATTCTTTAATACCTAATTTGTTTAATGTTTACCTAATGTTTAATGTTGGACATATTCCCTTTGTGCTGTTAACCATTGATATATATATATATATATTTTTTGCATAAATAGATAATCTACGTGTTTTTAAAAAAACCAAAGTAATTTAAAAAAAAATAAAACCATGCCCTAAAAAAACCAAAGTAATTAAAAAAAAAATAAAACCATAAACTGAAAAGAGAAACAAACTTAACAAATGGTAAAATAAATAAATGATAAACCAAGCATTAATCTCTCTCTCTCTCTCTCTCTCTCTCTCTCTCTCTCTCTCTCTCTCTCTCTCTCTCTCTCTCTCTCTATATATATATATATATATATATATATATATATATATATATATATATATATATATATATATATATATATATATATATATATATATATATATATATATATATATATATATATATATATATATAATTTAGAAGTACCTCAATTAATAGTTCAAATTTAATTAATTTAATTAAAAAGCCTTTCAATTAATAGTTTGAAGCTAATAATTTTTGCTAAATCATTACGTTGCACAGTGGTATGAAAAACTTGATTTTTGGCCAAAATTAAAAAAAAAAATCTGTAATTTTTGTTATTTTTTATTATTTTTAAATGCAACATTGTCCAGGAAATTCAAAAATATATAGGTTTCATAATTGTTCTTAAAAGAAAAGTCAATAACCGTATCCAAGAGCAAAACCTATGAATAATTTTTTTCAAAAACACAACATTTTTTTATTTGTGTATAAATTTAAAACTATATGCACATATGTAAAGATTTATTTTTAAACAAACTTTATAGTATAGAGTTTAATTTGAAATAATAATAATTTTTTATAATGTATATTTGCATAAGCTGTTTATGTTTGAAACTAGCATAAAATAAAAGTTTTTTTTTCAATTTCAACTTCTTCCTAAAACTTATGTCCATATGCATGGACTTGATCGATATGATTTTATTAAATCATAATATCGATATATTATTAAAAAAAAAAAAATCAGCTGCAAATAAAATTATTTAAACCAACTTTAAAGCTCCCAAAATATACTTTTTTTATGTTATCAAAAAGACTAGTGTCACTATTTTTGTTTTATTTTTATAAATACATGTTTAAAAACATTTTTTTTTCTTTAAACAATCGCATTTGCTACCTAAATTGTTCAAATATTAATTTTTTTAAATTCTTATAAAAAATTCCATATATTTAACTAGATGAAAATACTTGAAAAATGCATATTTTGGTAAATTTAAAACCTATGTAAAACGCAAAGTCGCAATGAAAAGATTATATCTATAGTATATGTTGAACATCTATTATCGTTTAACAATTCTTAAAAAAATCAGCTGCAAATAGTTAAAACAAAGGAACTAATACATATATATATATATATATATATATATATATATATATATATATATATATATATATATATATCCGATATATTATGAAACCACAAGCAAAAAAATTAAAACTTTTTGTGACATTCTTGACTAGGCCGCTTATGCGATATCTGAACAGAAAAACTTTGAAATCAAAAACTGTTTTCGGATTTAGATTAAACATTATCGATTTAGTATAAAAACATCAAAATTTTAATTTTGTCCAAAAATCAAGTTTTTCAGACCACTGTGTGTTGATGTAAAGCTTAGGTTGATTAATTGTGTCACTTATGAGGTACGACTGTTATATTGGCATTGGACGAGGGTTCAATTCTTACTAACAAATAAATTTTTTGTAATACTTTATTTGTTTTGTAGACATTAGAAAATATCAAAGTTTCAAATTTTTAAATAATTAAGTCTCAAAGTAATTTTGAAATTTCAATAAATAACTTTTCTAAATTCTTTGAAATGTAACACTTTTAAATTAAAATAAAAACATAAATTAATTTTTAAAAGAATTTTAAAAAGTTATAAATCTAATCCAGATCTGTCCCACAAATCAATTTCATCAATGATAACAATTCCAATAAATGGAGTCAAAAGAATCCAGTTAAATACAGCAACATTGGAAAAAGACCTTGATGTTCAACTCTCTGATGATCTAAAGTACAATAATCTTTCTCTGCTGCTAAGGCTAATAAAATCTTAGGTATGTTAAAACACACATTTGTTAGCAAAGATATAGTAGTCTAGAAAAATCTCTATACAACTTATATATGTCGACATCTAGAATATGCTGTGACAGCCTGATGCCCTCATTTTAAAAAGACATTACTGATATTGCAAAAATACAATGCCATGCGACAAAAATATCTCATGAATTAGAGCACCTTGATTACAAGACAAGATGTTTTAAATTTGGACTACTTTACTAAGTTACTTCACTAAGTTACTTCTGTAACTTCACTAAGTTACAGAAGAAAATGTGGTTACCTCATCTAAAAATTCAAAATTGAAAACAAAATTGATTTAATCAACTGGCATACTGACCTAATATTCATTCCTCCCTTTTATGGTCATCGCAAACACTTTTGTCTGGAAATTAATAGCAATTGCCTAGTTCAATTTAACTTTTTTAATAATCAGGTTGCTGGAACTTGGAATGCTTTGCCAGATGATGCTGTCAATGCCTCTACTATCAACATTTTCAAAAAAAACTAGACCAGCAACTATCATAGTTACCACAGTGCATCATTTTCTATGGCTGTTTTACTGCAGCTATACAAGTAGCTTTAGCAGCTAGCTTGCTAACTAATGATGAACTTACGGTTCATTCTGTTCCGTGAAACTATAATTGTGTGTATATATGTACATTGCAATCGTAATAATATAATTTTATGTTTTTATTTTTTCTGGTTTATCTTTTATTCTTTTAATCATTTGTTAAGATTTTAATTTTTTAGTTTAATTTTGTATTTTATTTTTTAGTTTTCATTTTTCTTCCCAGTTGATAATTTGCTTATTTTTAATTTAAAGTGTAAGTTTAAATTTGCTAATTCAGCACATTTTTAAAGCATATTGAACCTTTCTAGTGGAGTATTCCAATAAAAATACTTTGTCCCAATCTGTAAAACAGGTCAATGCTTGGAAGGGCATCTAGTTGTAAAAAACTTTTTTAACTCTTCCATAAAATCATGTTTTAATATTAAAATGGTATTATGGAAACCTACCTAAAACACATAAATTTTCATAAAAATTACCTTGAAGCTTTTAAAACAGAAATTACAGATTCAGTGCAAGTTTTGTCAACGTTATTGTTTTCTTTGAAAATATGAGGTTCTTGTTTCTCTTCATTACAGAGTGTTCTAATAAATTGCAACATTTTTTAATATACAAAACCCACCTTTTTGATACATAAAACATAGCTTTTTAACATAAAATACACCTTTTCATTATATATGTATATATGTATGTATATATGTATGTGTATGTATGTATGTATGTATGTATGTATGTATGTATGTATGTATGTATGTATGTATGTATGTATGTATTTAAAAACATTTTGCTAAAAAAAACCACCTGATAATTTAGTTTTGAATGAATTTGTTGTTTAAAATTCATTTTTTTATTCCAAATAAACAGCAAATAAAAATATGGGAGATCAGCAGTGATTACAGCAAGTGTAATGGATGGTTTAATAAACCATAATGAGTAATAAATGGTTTAATAAACCATAATGAGATCAGCAGTGATTACAGCAAAGGTAATGGATGGTTTAATAAACCATAATGAGTAAGATTGCAATTTAAACAACCATAAATAAAGTTGTAATTTAATCAACCATTAAGATGCCCTTAATTCCTTATTAATATCACTTTTTAAAACAGATCTTGATATGTTTAAAAAAAAAAACATTAAATATAAGCTTAGCACGCAAACATACTCAGTATAGTTAAGGCACTTTTTAAAATATAGTATTAGCATCTGTATGATATTTTGTTGACTACGACATATTTCCATTAAATAGTCTGGTCTGTGAATTATGAAAAGACAAAAAATTTTAAAATTATAAATTTTGCGGTATCATAAAATATAAATGTTTATAGCAAAAGAATCCAGATCGAAGATTCTTATTTTAAAAAAAATCTTCTTAAAATCACAATCGCTCGTCAACAACAATTACAACTTAGACCATCCAAAACTGACCTAGCCATGGCCCAATTACTTCAGTATAACTGCTATACTAAATATCAAGAGGAGGATAAATTGTTGCAACACTCAATAGATCGTGAAACCCCCTTCCCGGTGTCTTTGAGATTGTCTGTTTACTCGAAAACCAGAAAGAAACATTAAGTGGAATTACTTCATGATCATGGTCTAAGCATTTCATACAATAGGGTGCTTGAGGTTTCAACTCAGTTAGGCAATGCCGCTGTTGGCAAATATAAAGCAGAAGGTGTGGTATATCCAAATATTTTAAGAAAAAGTTTGTTTTCAACCTCAGCAATGGATAATATAGATCACAATCCAACTGCTACAACATCAACATCCTCATTCCATGAAACATTTGGAAGTTTCTATATTCCAACATCCAACTTTGGAAAATGAGGGAGTATTACAGGAACCATGGCAAACTGATAAGAAGATTAAAACCATTTCTAATCTTCCAGACTCTTACACCAATGTTCTACCTGCCTTTTTCGGTAACAAAAATCCAAATCCCCCACAAGTCGAAAATCAAGCACTGCTTCCACCACTTGCTCTAAAACCGGAGTATGATTGGTTGCAAAAGGTTAGTCTCACAGAAACAGTCAACACAGATAGAATTGATATATCTTGGTCTTCACATCATGCTTCATTGAAGAGAAGTCCTTCTTTCAAAGTGACTATTTCATTGCTATTACCTCTCTTTAGAGAACAAGCTCACTCTGTTGCAACAGTTTTTTATTGTATTGACAAAATCAAGGAAGTTGTGTCCCATCATAATCCAGACCAAGTCCCTGTAATTGCTGCTGATCAACCCATTTCCGCCATCGCAAAACAGTTCAATGGCACTTGCCAGAGAAATATGGTGAAGATAAATTTGTCCTTATGTTTGGTGGACTGCATATCGAGATGGCTGCTCTGAAATCGATTGGAACCCTTTTGCAAGATAGTGGTTGGGCATCAGCTTTAATTGAATCAGGAATAGCTACTACTGGTACAGCAGATTCATTCCTTTCAGCATCAAGCATAACAAGAACATGGCAGATGCACCAGGTGACAGCAAGTTGTTTATATAAATTGCTGCATGAGTCTTGGGACATGTTTTGCACAGAAGCACAGGCTGATGACCAACCGGAACATAGTTTTGATGATTGGTGTGACATGCGCAGGCACTAAAGTCCAATTCAAGTTAATGATTTTGGAAATGGAGCTGACCATTCTATCTTTAGTACGGTCTTTCAGAGAAGCCAATTTCGATTTATATAGCCAGGTTTTGCAAGAATTGTTTCCCTATTTTTTTGCAAAAAAACAACACCAATTATGCTCATTGGTTACCAATCCATCTCCAAGATATGCTGCGCTTAGATCACACTTATCCACAGATAAAAACTGAATTTCTGAAGGGCAATTTTGTGGTCCTTAAATCATCTTGAGAATTTTCCGTGTTAGCAATAGATCAAGCCCATGAACACGCAAATGCTGTTATCAAAGGCGATGGTGGAGCAATCGGTGTCACGGAAGATCCGCCGGCTCTTAGATGATGGATATATGGTTTCTGGCTGCGATTAAACGTGTCAAGTGTCTGTCTTGATGTGACCAATGTGTTTCGGAAGTTGAGTTCCTATCCCCCGGTATTGGATGGTCATAATATCACTATGATTTAGATGTTGTTCCATTGTATGACAGGTCTAGTCAGGTAGCCAGTGTTGACGAAGCGAGATTTGATATGTTTGCCAGGAAACAACGTTCATTTGATGCTATCCCTCCAACAAAAATGTCACTGATTCAACATACCAAACGAGCAGCATATCAAGCAGGATGCATAAGGAGTCAGGCATTGACATGTTCAATGGAAGAAGCAAGTCCATCTGATTGGGGCTGGAAGCTAAAGGATGATATATGAACAGTTGTATGGTCCGATCTTCCGATTGACCTGATTTGTAAATATCTATATATAAAATAGCTTTCTCTACTTGTGTTTTAAACGAATTTGTAGATTTAAGAAGATAGAATGATACTCGTCACAGGTATTGTGATTGGTTTAATACTTTCTACGACAGGAGATTCCATTCCTAGGTTTCTAGAAGGACAAAATGTCGATAATATCAGAATGTGGTGGTCTTTTATCCACCATTTTGAATTCAAAATGGCCTCCAACAGCTTCATGTTGATTCTGAATGTATCTCTGTTGCAAAAAATATATTTAGCAATTTCTTGTCGAGTTATGGGCGTTAATTTGCAAATTATGTGCTTTAAATACATTTAATCGTTTAGTTTCATAGGAATTTTAGTTATTGTCCGCCGTATTAAAAAAATGACATTTATTTTGATTTTTTTGTGTGGCTAATGTGCTTTTTTATTAAAAGGATAGTTAAATTTGTCACATGCAAAATTTGGTGGTTGTATCACAAAGTGAAAGATTTGGTGCTTGTATCACAAAGTGAAAGATTTGGTGGTTGTATCACAAAGTGAAAGATTTGGTGCTTGTATCACAAAGTGAAAGATTTGGTGCTTGTATCACAAAGTGAAAGATTTGGTGATTGTATCACAAAGTGAAAGATTCTAATGATATTTTGGGTTAAGCTGTGAGGGAAAAATTTTGATCTATTCTGTGAGGTTCTGTCTCAAGTTCTGTGAGGGTAAAGTTTTGATCTATTTATATTATAATAATGAAATTTAGCATTACATAATTTATGGACAATCCCTAAAGTCAATCCAAATAAATCTGCTAAACCAATAGTAAAAATTTTTTTACAGCATATGCAAAAAAAATTTATTGATATAATTAATTGACATAAATTTGATCTTTACTGTTAATATTAATATGTAATATTAATAAAACTGGTTTAAATATTAATAAAACTGGTTTAAAAACCTACAAAAATAAAGGTTTATCAGGCAAAGGTAGTAAACAAGATGGAAGAATCGCATCTACAGAACAAAGTACATTGATAACTTCATGTAGCTCTTTGCAATTATTTAAAAACTTTGACACATTAAATTGCATTTAGTCACACACAAGCAGTAAATGCCTGAGGGAAAAATGAAGTACATCAAAATAGAGAGGACTTATTTTTAGAGCAAAGTATATTTAGTTAAGAAAAATAAAGATTATTAAAAGAGAATCTATACTAATACAATGACAAAAATAACACAGATAGTGCACCCAAACAATACTTACAATAATAAAAAAAATAAAACTTTTTATAATCACTTAAAATGAACAAAGATACCTAACAAATATATCACCAAACAAAAACAAAAGAAAAAGACTTCAGAATAAAAAGTATGCATAGAACTATGTAAGGCCTAAGAATGGAAAAAAACAACATTAATGCTAATGTGTAAGAATGGAAAAAAAAAAAACATTAATGCTAATGTGAAAGAATGGTAAAAAAAAAAACATTAATGTGTAAAATTTGTGTAGTGGTAAAGTAATAGACTTCTTCTCAGGGTTGCATTTATTATGACTGGTATTTCGATGAGAATCAGCACTAATAGTTTATCCTGTCAGATAAATGCCACTTATGCTTTATCTTGCAACCTTTTAAAAAAATTTTAAAGATTTTTAAATGCAATCAGAAATTAAATTCTTTCACTATTTATTTTTCCTAACATAAAACGTCAAAATTACACGATAAAAAAGATTTTCCGCAATGTGAGGGGCAAATTCTTCTGGGTGGATGAATTCAAGCATTTTTATGGAATGGACATAACATTTTATCAAGTATTTACTCTTTAGATGTTTATATTGTTCTCACAAATCTCTAGTTTTGTTACTTCTGGACAGCCATAAAAGTCACATGTCTGATAAAAATAAATTGAATAGTCACAAACCCCAAAAAAGACAAAAAAAGAATTAATGAAAGACCTTTGTATAAAATATACAATACCATCAATAGTTTTTTTTGGCTAAGGCTTTAATGTAGAGTTTAAAGTTTCATTATTAATTTTATTGACAAATACAAAATGAGAATGTTTGTTTAACATTATTTTGAGATGATCAAACCGTTCTCAGTTTGATCATGTCAAAATAATGATATTTATTTTTGTTTTGATTTTTTGTGAACTGTTGACATAAATATACAACCATTTTGGATTTTTGAATCAAATGTCTATCACATAACTTCTTATAAAATCAAGACATTTATTTGCT